TTGCAGGAGTTCAGGTCTTAAAAAGTGGGGGTGAAGAGGCAGTCAGCTCTCAGAGTTCCAGGCCAGCGTAGTCTGTATAGTGAATTCCAGGACAGCCAGGATTACATAATAGAAACACTGTCTTGAAAACAAAAAACAAAAAACCGACCAAAGAAACAAAAAGCAAATCTTAAATGTAGTAGAGAGAAGAGAGAGTTTTGGAGCTGGAGTGATTAGAAAACAAGCAATTTTGGGAGGGGAGGTGGTGTCTAGTTTCTTTGACCTTACATTGATCTTCAGGTGATGAGAAGACATCTGTGCAGAAATGGCTAGGGAGAAAGTGCAGTTGGTAAAGTGCTTGTCACGAAAGCATGGAGATCTGAGTTCAATACCCAGCATCCCCATAAAAAGCCAGGTATGGCTGAGTGAGGTGGCCCAGGCCTCTAATCCCAGCACTAGACAGGCAGGTGGATCTGAGCTTGAGGCCACTTGGCCTACATAGCAAGCTCCAGGAGAGCCTACATAGTCTGTGTCTCAAATACATAAATAAATAGATAAATAAATGTCAGTTATGCCTGAAAATGCCTTGTAACCTATCAATGGGAAGACAGGCAGGCAGTTCTTAGGGTTCAGTTACCAGTCAGCCAAGCATAATCAGTTAGTTCTGGGTCCATTGAGAGATCCTCTTTAAAAAAGAAAAAAGTGGCTGGAGGTGGTTTTGTTTGTTTTGTTTTGTTTTTCGAGACAGGATTTGTCTGTGTAGTTTTGGTCCCTGTCCTGGATCTTGCTCTGTAGACCAAGCTGGCCTTGAACTCACAGAGATCCGCCTGGCTCTACCTCTCTGCTGGGATTAAAGGTGTGCACCACCACACCCAGCACCCGGACGACAGAGGCAGGCAGATCTCTGTGAGTTTGAGGCTAGCCTGGTCTACAGAGCAAATTCCAGGACAACTAGGGTTGTTACACAGAGAAACCCTGTCTTGAAAAAAAAAAAAAATAAAAAAATAAAGGTGTATGGTTCCTGAAGAGTGACACCCTAGAATTGACCTCTGGCCTACACCCACATATACACAAAGAAATGTCCAAGGCTTGCACAAGTCATCTGTTGATAGCAACCCAGGATTTCCTGTATACTAGCCATGAGACTCTGGAGACAGTTCTACTCAACCTTTCTAAGCTTTGGTTTGGAGAGCACAGCTGGGTGGTACACACTTGTTTAATTCAAGCACTTGGGAGGCAGAGGCAGGTGGATCTCTTGACTTTGAGATAGCCTGTTCTACAATAGCAAGTTCCAGGCCAATCAGAATTGCATAGTGAGACCCTGTCTCAAACAAACAAAAAAGCCAGAAAGAGAGAGCAGTAACATCTACCTCACAAGTTATTGTGAAAAATAGAGTATTCTAGAATATGTGGTAATGACTAAGTGACTGTTAGGAATGTAGGCATGGTCAAGGGAATGATATACAAAGTTGGTAGCTGAACTTGAGGGTGGCTGGTCTACAGAGGAACAGAGGGTTAAAGCTGAAAGGCTGAAAAAATGAAGGAGGAAGAAATCCTCGAGGAGTCAGTCAGTGGGGGATAGACTCCGATTGTGACTGTGGAGGGAGCAGGATCGAGATTGAATAGCCAGAGGCCAGAAAGGCCACCTTCAAGTATCATCCCAAAACGGTAGTCCAGATGTGCAAGACAATCTTATCTCTGCTTGTTTCTAGGATTTGTCTTGGGAGGTGCATTTGGGGTCTTTACTGCCGGCATTGATACGAATGTAGGCTTTGACCCTAAGGACCCTTACCGGACACCAACCGCCAAAGAAGTTCTGAAAGACATGGGACAAAGAGGAATGTCCTACGCCAAAAATTTTGCCATTGTGGGCGCCATGTTTTCGTGTACTGAGTGTTTGGTAGAATCTGTAAGTGCCTCTTGCTTTCTAAGAAATCCTTGTCTGTTTTTCAAGTCATGGTTTCTTTGTGTAGTCCTGGCTGTCCTGGATCTCGCTCTGTAGACCAGGCTGGCCTGGAACGCACAGAGATCTGCCTGTCTCTGACTCAAAGGCGTGTGCCACCACCGCCTGATGTTGTTGGTTTTTGCTATTTTTGGGGGCCCGCCACCCAGCTCCCAAATCACACACACGGAGGCTTATTCTTATTTATAAATGCGTGGGCTTAGCTTGGCTTGTTTCTTGCCAGCTTTCCTTAACCTGTCTGTCTTTTGCCTCTGGGCTTTTCCTGTTCTCTTCTATATCTTACTCTTATTCCATGGCTTGCTGTGTAGCTGGGTGGCTGATCCCTGTAGTCTTCCTCCTTCTCTGGCTACTTCCTTCTCCTCCCAGGTTTCTCTTTCTATATATTCTCTCTGCTAGTCCCGCCTGTCCTTTCTCCTGCCTTGCTATTGGCTGTTCAGCTCTTTATTAGACCAATCAAGTGTTCCAGACAGGCACAGTAACACAACTTCACTGAGTTAAACAAATGCAACATAAACAAAAGTAACACACCTTAAAATAATATTCTACGGGTTGGGGATTTAGCTCAGTGGTAGAGCGCTTGCCTAGCAAGTGCAAGGCCCTGGGTTCGATCCTCAGCTCAGAAAAAAAAAAATTCTACAGAAGCCTGGCTCTTCTTTTAAAACCAATCCTCTTTGTAAAAAATTTAGATTAAAAAGTGTGTGTGTGTGTGTGTGTGTGTGTATAAATGGGTATTTTGCCTGCATGTATGTATGTGCACTGTGTGCCTGCCTGGTGCTTGAGGATGGCAGAGGAAGATATTTAATCCCTTGGGACTGGAGTTACAGGCAGTTGTTAGATTTGGATCCTGAGAATTGAGCCAGGGTCTTTCTGGAAGAGCAACCAGTGCTCTTTACTACTGAGCCATCTCTCCAGGCCTCTTCCCACCCCTACCCCCCTCCCCATGTCCCCACCCCTGGTTTTTGAGACAGGCTCTTACAATGTAACCCTGGTTGGCTTGGAACACCTGCTCCTGCCTCCTGAGTGCTGGGATTAAAGGTGCATGCTATCACTCCCAGCCCATCACACAACTTTTAAAAGAGCAATGTTCTTAGTGTTCTTCCTGGAATGCAGAATAGAAATGTCAAGCCTTAGTTAGATGGGGTCTGAAGCAGGAGCATGAGATCTGGGCCAGCCTGAGCTACATAGGAAGACTGCCTCAAAACAAACATTTAGACATATCAAATTTTGATCTAGATTAGTCCCTAATGTGAACTTTTTACATATTTATAATATAGGTTTTGCTTTTTTTTTTTAAATCTTCTATAGGCAAAAAGTGATTTTATTTATTTGGTGCTGGGGATTGAACTTGGGGCTTTATGCATAGTAGGCAAGTGCTCTACCACTGGGCCACATCACCAACTCAGGTAATTGTAGTTAATGATTTAAAATTAAACTGGAGAATGTAAGAACTCTTGCTTATTTCCCAAATGCTAGACTTGTCTTCAGCCCTCTGGCGCCACCTGCAGGAAGCGTGTATAAGCACACACAAATTTTAGGAACTGCCCTTTGGAAATAAGGGTTTCCTTTGCCTAGGACTAACCTAGGCAGTTGGAAGCCCTGTGTTTTCTCCCGCCGTCGTCTGGCTGGCTCTAACCAGCATCTCTCCACCCACAGTACCGGGGGAAGTCGGACTGGAAGAACAGCGTCATCAGTGGCTGCATCACTGGCGGAGCCATTGGTTTCAGAGGTTAGTAAACAGCTCTCAGTGGCTTGCTTTTGTGGTCTGGACAACGTGCTGATGTTGACATTTCCCAACATGAGTGTTCCAAGGATGCTTGATAGTCTTCCCTCTGACAAATAAATCCTGGCTGCTTCTATGTTGACTCGGCTCTGGAAACTTGCTTATATCTCCATCTACGTTAGGCTTCCTCATCCTTGGCACTCTAGAGATTTTGGACCAGATACAATCTTTTTCTTTTTAAAAACTATGTACTTTTATTTGTATGGATGTTTTGCCTACATGTATATGTCTGTGTACCACATGTGTGCCTGGTGCCATAGGAAGGCATCAGGTCCCCTGGACTGGAATTACAGATATTTGTGAGTCATGTGGCTGGTGGGAACCAGACCCGGGTCCTCTACAAGAGGAACAAGTACTCTTTGAACTGCTGAGCCATCTCTTCAGCCCCCCAGGTAAATCTTTGCTGGTGTGTGGAATGGGATCATGCATATTGTAGGCTGTTTGGCCAAATGCTCATAGCTTTTTAGGATGGGGACTTTTGCTGTTATCAAAAGCCACCCAAGGGTGGGAAAATTACCCATAATTAACCATAGAGCTATATCTTGCCTAGAAAAAGAGCTTCCATATTGAATGTGTGAGACGATGTTCTCATGGTAATTGGTGTGTTGGCATGTAGGGTAGTACAGAAGCCTAGTAAGTCACTCAGCCCTGAGCAGTCCCCTTGTCCACACCTGCAGGCTGTGCTGAGACTCATTTCCTGGCATCTCAAGTGTCTGAACATTTTTTTCCCTTAATTTTATACTGTTGTCAGGGTTTTGTTTGGTTTACAGTTCTGGGAACCAGGCCCCAGTCCTGGTAAACACTAAGCCTAAGTTCTGGTACTGAGCTACAGCCCCAGCCCCAGTGGCCAGTTTTAATTTTGTATATAAATTTTAATAGCTGTGTCTTTCTGCAGTTGGGGAGTCTTAGATTTCTACTAATTGAAAGCTAAGTGCACACTGGGCATGATGATACAAGCATGTAAGCCTACCACTAAGGAGATCTTGCCTCAAAAAACCAAAGGGGCTGGTTGGAGAAGTGGTTATGAGCATGCACGATTCTTGGGAGAGTTCAGTTCCCCACACCCTCACAGCTACCTGCAACTGTAGCTTCAGAGGATCTGACACCCCTCTGGCTTCCTCAGGCACCCATGTACACATGGCATTCATTCACTCACACACACATACACATTAAAAAAACAAAATAAATTTAAAACACAAGGGAGACGGACGACAGGAAAGCCAAGTGCAGACATCCTCAGAATGTTAGATTATCAGCTAGAAAGAAGCCAGCCCTCACCTCCTCCCTGTTCCAGTGTGGAGCATTGGCCTCAAGGACTTGACCTTTCCTAGAAGCAGCATGTATTGCTGGGCCACTCTCCATCACTCACAGTTTGACTTGGTGGAAGCAGAAGCCTCTCATCTTCTGAGAACCAGTGATGAGCCGACATGAAAGCTGGCTCCTCACAGCCAGGCTTGGTGGGCAGAGCGGCTTCTCTTCTGGTCTTCTGTAGTGTAGTTTTTCAGGGCTGTGAGCTCAGCTCCCCCCAGGATTGCTTTGATCACCTTCCCAGGAATTTATTCCATAAACAGATCAGGGTGTAAGGCCATATGCTTTCATGTGATTCCAAGGGCCGCTTCCCTTAACCAGTTTCTGGACTGTGAGGGCCCAGTTCCATACAACTGGACACAGTAATCGTTTGGAATGAGAAGAGCTAAGCAAATGTCTAGTTAAATGAAGCCCAGTGGTTTGGATGGGATATGTTGCTTCATTGAAATCTTAACAAGGCACTATGAGTTTGAATGATTGAACATGCTTAAGTTGGTTTCCTTGCATCTCGGATGCAGACTTTTTGCAAGTCCAGTCCAGTCCAGCGCCTGTTACTTCAGTAATACCGCTTGTGTTTGCTTTGCAGCTGGTGTGAAGGCCGGCGCCATAGGTTGTGGGGGCTTTGCCGCTTTCTCTGCTGCAATCGATTATTACCTACGCTGAAAGAAACGGCCTGAGAGGAAGCAAGATGCCGTCCGCCTTCAGAGCTGGTTTTTGGAGCAGTTTCCACACACTTGGCATTGCCTCAGGAGAGAAGCCAATTGTTTCCCGCTACAGTTGGTGGTGTGAGGGAACCACCTCGCTGTCCTCTGCCTCCAGCCATTGGATCAGCCATACTTTTCTACTTCTGAATTCCAGCCAGGTTTTCCAGGGTAGATGGTCTGTCTCCTTGCAGTAAAAAGATCAGGAGGCAGTGTGTTGACTGTTAAGAACTGAGCTCAGTCCTGACGTCACTCAGCTCTCCAGCTGTGAACAGGGAAGTGGCAGGATGTTTGCCCATAGCCAGGAAACTCTTTTGCCTTGCAACGTTGTGCAAGCATTCATCTGAATACCAGGGCAAGGCAAAGTAAACTTATACCATCCAGGCAAGTATGTTATTTCAGTTAGTGTCTTTGCTGTCCTTGTTAAAAATATGTACGTGGGGGCTGGTGAGATGGCTCAGTGGCTTATAGCACTGGTTGCTCTTCCAGAGGTCCCAGGTTCAGTTCCCAGCACCCACATGGTGGCTCGGGGATTCAAGGCCCTCTTCTGACCTCTGAGGGCACCAGACACCACTGCACGGACATTCATGCAGGCAGCATACTCAGTTTTGTTTTCTGTTTTAAAGAGCAGATGCACTGTTAGTTATTTTTCAGATTTATTTCACATCTTCCACAAATGATGCCAGGTGGCCCGAAGAGTGACAGTTCAATGGAACAGTTGGGAAATCTCCGAAGAACTCTGGGGGTGCTAGGCTCAGGGATTGTGGAATCTGTACCTTTATCGCCACAGTTGCTCCCTCAGCTAGGCCTTGCCCCAGCAGCACAGTCTAGCTAGCCCTGTTCTCAGATGCACTGAATATGCTGGTAACTCTGCCGCCTCCTTAGAGAGAGAACCCCATTGGGCTGGCCGATGGTCACGCATGCAGCTTGCTGAACCAGTGGTCTCAGGCCCCAGCCCAGTTTCAAGATACATGCGTACTTGCTTTGGTTAGCCTGCTGGCTCAATCATACGGGAACTTTTGAAGGCTTGCTCACCATCACCCTTGTTCTCCAGGAAGTTCTTTGGCTTTTAGAGTTTTTTATTTCAGCAGTTGAGCTGAGTTATAGCATGGCAGAAAACTAGCCTTTTAATGTTGGGGCTGTGCCACTGGACCAAAGTGTAGTGTGTGGGTGAAGATGGACTGGATGGACCCAGTCCTGCCCTCCTGTCAGCTCCGCAGGAGGCTCGGCAAGGCCTGGGACTGGCCGCCTTCAGTCAGCCTTCAGTCTTTTTCCCTGCTCTGTACTAGCCCTTCCACTTTTTCTTTGCTTCTTCCTCATCTCTACTCATCCTCAAGCAGAATTCAAAGACTAACTTCCACATTAGTCATTTGAGTGTGTATTTGTATGTGAGTGATGATATCAAACCCAGAGTAACACCTTTCTGCTATATCTTTGGACTGGCTGCATGTTAGTGCATAGGGCTCATGTTCTCTCTGCTGGATCCTTTCCACATTCATTCATTTGCTGAGGAAAGAACCCAAGGCTTAGCAGGGCAGTGGTGCATGCCTTTAATCCCAGCACTCGAGAGACAGAGGGGCAGATCTCTTCAGTTTGAGGCCAGTCTAGTCTACAGAGAAAATTCCAGGATAGCCAGAGCTACATAGTGAGACCCTGTCTTGAAAAACAAAAAAGAAAAACCCAAGGCTTCATACATGCTAGGCAAATACTCTATTAATGAACCCCCCTGCCTCTAGCCCCCAGTGAATTCTGTATGATGCCTGCCCTGTTTTCATAAGCATGAGGCTTCATTACTGAAAGACCAGCTGGAACATACCCCTAGAGCTCTGAAAACAAATTGAGGAGTGTTCCTACACTGTCTGTGAATTCCTCATCTAGGAACACCTTTCTGAAGAAGGGATGGTTTCTACCTGGTGCCTGTCAAAATGCTCAGGGCCTGAGGTCTTTGGCCAGCTGATCTTCCACATGAGCCACAACACAAGAGATGTTGCCATCACAACTCTCTTGGCAAAGAGGAGTCTCAGGGCTGTCAATAGACATCAGCTGAACAAGCCAAGCCTTGTCCACGTGGACTGTTCAATCAAGAGGAGATGAATAGCTTCCTGTTTTAGGTGGCTGGGGGGTCAGTATGAGCTCATAAACCAAACAGCAGTTTGCAGACACATCTGTTCCTGATCTCCAGAATAAACAGTGTCCAATGGCTTCGGCTGGTGGAAGCCCCACACAAACCCTACTGGCTCTCGCAAAGGGGAGTGGGCTCTTGATGTGAGATGCAGATCTCTAACAAGCAAATTCAACCAAAGGCTGCCATAGAAGACGGGCTGATTTTGAGGAAAGCGGAGACGTTAATGGAAAGCCAATGGGCCACCTCTGCTATCTTTCCCAGGAACACTATGCCCAGGTCCATACTGAGTATCCCATGAAGGGAACTACAGCACTTGGAAATGTGGGTAGAGTGAGAAGGAGGCTTTCCCCTCCAACTGCCACAGCCCCAATGTCGTCAGAAGAGAGTTCAAGGATAGGCAGATGGACAGGTTCCTGGAAACACATCTGGGTGCAGCTGGAAGGACTTAAATATTTAGATTGGTGATCTTCCCTGGACTACTGAGAACACAAACATCCACACCACAGGGCTGAGTTTTGTGCAAATGTTGGGGCTTTGCATTTTTTTATTAACATTTCCCTCTCACATGGTTTACATCAATTTATAATAATCTACATTAAGTTTAAACAGAACAGAGACAAAAAAAATATATCCATACCAACTTATTAGGGGTTCCATCCTACCTCGTCAGCAAAAGCTGGCAGCCCTCATTCACTGCCTAAGCAAGTGCAAGCATGCCTGGGATTCCTGGACCCTGTCTCCCGGTGCCTTGCTGGCAGTGATAGGGTTCTGGGCTGCATGGCTCCTGTCTCAGGAGAAACACCAGATACTTCCTTGGTGCCCCACTTGGGGTGGAATTTATAAATAATAGAAACCATTAATAATTCTCAGTTCCTCTTCCAGCCTTCTTGCTATTATATTGCCTAAGCAACCTGGGGACTGCAGTAGCTAATGCCCAGAAGCCAACATTCCTTGTTTTGAAGAGACAGGAGGCACTGTTTTGATGGGCTTTGATAATTTGTTACTGTCAATTCTTTGGAAGTAAGAATGCCTCACATCAGCACCTGAGTGCCAAGATAGTAGCTAGATGATATGATCTCTACACTCACGGGCACTCTCTTTCACCTGTCTGAGACAGCAAGGCTCCTTGTTAAACTGCTAATAGGCAGTTGGGAAGTTGGCATTCCTTTCTCCTGTATGCACAAACTGTACCGTTGTGTCAAAGGCAACAGGTATGAATAGGACCTGAAAGAGCCCTGCCTCTCACCTAGCAGACACAATAGCTTGGGGGCCAGCAAACCCATCTTTAGACTTAGCCCTGAGCACACACAATGAGGGCTGGTCTCCCCAATCCTGAGGGCCAAGAATCAACTCTGCCACATAGAAGATACAGGAAGATGTGTCGTAGCTCAAGCTCCTATGACAGGAGCATCTTTCCCTGCTAATTGCCATCGGACTGGAAATGGTGCTTTGGGAATAAATCTCTTTCTAGTACCAAGCAATAAGTTGCAGAGTTGGGAATGACACCTGCTGACCCCATCCTCTGGAGCCCCAGCAGACACACAAGGGCGACAGTCTGTCCTCCAACTTCTAGAAAGCTTGGGATCATCCACAGGGCTGGATTTAGGAGCTGGGGCAGTGCCAGGGCAGGACCATTCCAGCTGGGTTGTACCTTCTGCTCCTAGGCTCTGGAGCATGCATGGCAATGTGGCTGCCCCGTGGCAGTGCTTGGCTGTTGAGAGTGTAAAATCTAAGGCAAAAGTACCACGAGGTATATGAGGTTCCAGGTTCCAGGACAGAGCCCGTTTTCATCTGGACCCCTGATTCAGCCACGGAAGTTGCCCTCCAGGAGGTCATGCTCCACTACAACAGCCTCTGCGCGTCTTTACTGTGAAGACTGGCTTCCCTTGACTTGCCCCTGCTGCCTGCTCCATCCGTCTTGTTCCTTCACAGCCCGGGCGCCCACCACACCCTCAGGTGCGTTCCTGACCTCTCTTGATAGCAGGACACTTGTGAGTCATCACACTCAAAACACCACCAGGGGAAAGGGAACAGAAAATTCAGCAGAAGAAACAGTTGAAGATGCCTCATGGTAGGCAAGAAATAGAACAGACAAACCCCAGAAAGGGTAATTCTCAAATAGAACATTCCAGAAATCAGCTCTCCAGCTCTGTGCTAAGCTGAGAATTAGTGTGTGTCTGTCTCCTTGTTCAACGTCTGCACAGACAGCAAGGAAAGCAGGTGTGAGGCCAAGGGTGGCACACAGCACATCGGACAGGCCACCACTGCCCGGGGCCTCTGCAGAACTTTCCAGTGATGGAGCAAAACCCCAAGCTGCACATGCATGCAGCAGGCTGGGAAGATGGAGAGGGCAGAGACACTGCAGGGAGGCTGCAGTCTGGGAGCAGGGCCAGGATAGGAGAAGCCGGCAGCAGTCACACAGCGTAAAATAAAAGTCCCCAGACTGGACTCAGGCAGAAAGAAAGCGCTGAAGAAATGAAAGAACAAAGCAGGCCGTCTGTGCCCACCCCGGCTCAGCCACTACCCTTTCTGCATGACAAATACACATAGAACAATTCTTAGACAGCACGGAGCATCAGACACACACAGGTACAGAGGGCAGGAGCTGGGGGTGGTGAGGAGGCTCGGGGCTGGTCAGCTGGCTTTGTACAAGGTGGCACAAGAGATGCACAAGTTGCAGATCTCGGAAGGTGGCTTCCCTGGACTCCCGAGGGCTAGGCTGGGGAG